AAATTTTAATATAGAGAGAAAATTTCAATTTTCACTATATTTTATTAGTAAATTTAGCCCCTGAGTCATTACTTTTGATCATCACTGTATATATTAATATTAATAATAAAAAAAATATAATTTAATAAAAATTCTTATTAAGATTCGAAATTTTTTTTAAAAATATTTTTAATGAGTTATCTTATACATTATTAAATATTTTTAGTAAAATTCTAATAAAAATTTAATACATTTTTATTATAAAAGAAAGTTTTTTATAAAATATTTTTATAAAGTTGAATTATTAAATTTTATAATAAAATTTTTTTAATTATTTTTTAATATTAATTTTTTAATTTAAAAAATTAATTAAAAAATAATATTAATATTATTTAGTAAATAATTCTTAAGTAAACTTTTTAATAAATATTAATATATAATATTATAAGTTTATATTTTTTAATTAATTTTCTACTAAATTATAGTAAATTTAATAATTTATTACTAATTATATAATAATTATTATAATATATATATATAGTAAGTAATAAAAAATTTATAAAAAAAGAATTTTAATTATATTTTTCTTTATTATATAATGAAAATTTATTAAATTTTTTTAGAATTTAACTAAAACTTTTTATAATTTAATAAATAAACTTATTTAAAAACAATATATATAATAAAATAATTTTTAAGAAATTTTTAATAACTTTTTGCCAAATTTTTAAAATTTTTACATTTTCATAAGAAATATTAATAAAATATTATTTTAAATATTTATAAAAATATTTTATAATATTTAAATAATAATTATTTTTTTATTAATTTTGTTTAATTTCAAAAAATAATTAAGTTTTTTTTGTTATTATTGGAAGATGTTCCTTCGATCTTTTTGGCCTAGACCAAATTGGTCTTTTGTCCTTGTGCCAATATAAAATTGTATTTCTGTATAATTGAAAAGCAGTTTCATCTGTAAATAAAACCTTTTCTTTGGTAGCAATATCTTTTAATGAAATAGAAGGATCTTGACAAATATACTGATGTATCACATTTAATACTTCGGGGGTTTTTTTTTTGGCTGGCCGTTTCTACTTTTATGATTTATGCTTCCATTTTTTTTTTTAATTTTTGAACATTATAATAAAGAGTTGAGATTGGAATCTTGGTAAGTTTATGTAATTCAGGCACTGAATGCACTCCGTTATCCAATAATGTAGCAAAACTTCTTGGTATCTGAGGTCGATATCTAACCGGGCTGTGCAAAAAATTTTGATATTTAACTTTACAAATCATTGATCACCGGTGACAAATTTCTAACACTAATTTCTTTTTCAAACTACTGTATTATTTCAATTCCAATATTCAAGAGAACATGTCTTTTAGCTGCTGCAAGATAAATTTTATTGTATTATATGATTGCATACAAAGTAATAAATTCAACTACTATGCCACCACGAGACTACTATGAAGGTATCTCATGCTAATGAATACTCAGCGTAAGCATAAAAATTTATCCATGATTTTCAAAACTGCGATTTAAGAAAAATACTCAATAAAACGTAAACGATATTCAAGACAGCGAGAATGTATTTTAAGTTTTCTTTTCTTAATAATCTATGCCCTGTTAATTTTTATTTTATTATTATCGTTATCTTTAGTTACTTTAGTTACTATGATACATGTAATTTGATCATCTTCTATCATTGACATCATTTTATCATTGGCATCATTCTATCAGACGTGATTCTCATATATCATCATGCTTACGCGTCAACATAACAATAATTACGAGTATATAAAAGGGAACCACTTTCCTATTCTATTTGGCTTTTTATTCTTCAACAATGGGAGATAATAACATCGAAAACAGAAATATTTTTTACTTCCAGTTTGCAGGTGTCCAACCTGATCTACCTGCACCAAATCGGGCACAACAGCCACAACAATTCTAACTAGCACCACCACAATCATCACCGCAACAACAACAACAGCAACTACCACCGCAACTATCACCGCAACAACAACAACGGCAAAGACGTGGTCCAACAACGCTGCAGCTGGACCAGCGCATGCAGCAACAGCAGCAAGAGATACAAAATATTCGTCAGCAACAGCAACAAGAAATGCATGATGTTCGTCGGTAACAGCACCAATTCTTACAACACGTTGATAACGTGTTTTTAATTAATTGGCAACAGCAACAACAAAATTTCAGGTGATAAATGAGCGACATGAACAAATAGAGCAAATACTAGAGCAGCGAAATCAAGCGCTAGAACGACAAGTAGCGTTATTGCAGCTGCAGATACAACATCTGCGAAATCCACCACCGCTACCACCACCACCAGCACCACAACCACAACAGCAGCAGCGACAAAGTCAAATATTTGTGATAGGCGCTGTAGTTGCCGTTATCGTCACTGTTGCTGTGGCGAATAGAAATTTAATAATCAATTATTTCCATTTGTAATCCTTTTATAGAATTGCTGTAATAAAATTCGTCTCGTCGTAAAAAATAATACTGATCGGATTTTGTTTTTTATGAGAATGCACGAATCATTATGCTTTTCAGCCTTGAACATGATAGAAAACACCTCACAGGTGATTGAATAGTATCCAAGTTCTGCCGAGCTTACAGAAGGATAGTGTCTTTTTTTGTTTTTGTGTTTCAATATCAATTTGTCGCGTTTCTTATATATTGCTTTGATATCTCTTTGGTGATATAATAATATTGAAAATTGATTTGGACCATCAGAGAAATAATGCAATTCTACCTTCGTTCTGAACATAAAAACTGATGCAATACTCTAACTTATGCGTAACTAGGATTAAGTGTGCTAGACTGAATATTTTACTACTAAAGGGTCTATTTCTATTTAATGTTCTAAAGGTTTCCCGTGATAACTTGTCCGCAAATCGACCTGTAACAAGCGAATTTTCTGTAACGAAAGTGTATTGCGAGGATAACCAACAGCAAAAAAAAACTAATCGATAGGACTTATTGACGTGGCCCGGAAAACAAAAATTCGGTTAACCAAAAACTAATGTGTTCGAAATCAAAGGTTTGGACTTTGTTTCTGCCAGCAAAATAGCCAAAAGTTGGGACTTTGTTTCTGCCAGCAAAAATTCGAAGCATGGATTGTTTATAGTATAGTGGAGTTCCTCCACTATTTGTTCAGAAGACAAGATTTGAAGATAATCAAAGAGAAATAATAATTTATAAGTAAACGTGGGTTTTTTATTATTTATAGTACGAAACTTTTCTATTTACACAAGTTCGGGAATATATGAACTTTATTAGGTAGACCTCAAGTTCGATATTAAACAAATGTTAAATAAACATTGGATTCTGCGAAGCTAAAAAATAAATGTTAAATTCATGTTAATTTATGCGGAGATAATGTTAACTAAATATCACAATAAAATTCATAAATTATGCGAAATCAACACTATGGTAATATATGCCTACGAAAATTGTAACTGCATACATGTACATGTTTGAAAAATTAAAAATTAACCTATACTATTCTTGGTTCAATATAAATAATATAAATGAAATCTTTTCCCATTTATTTGTTTTTCGACAAATTTTCATTAGAATATTGTAAATTTTATAATCTTTGTTGGGAATAGAGAGTCCAAAATCAATCTGATTACGACAACAATATACTGTGTTCGGTACCTGGTCACATGGTAATCAAATTAAAAGGTGATATTATCATTAAGGTTAGGGTTAAAGTTAGAACTGAAGAATGTATTAACATGTAAAATTATCTCCCCGACATTTGTTAATAGTATTTCAAGCTAGATTTTGATGTCTGTTTTCCGTATTTTCTGTATTTTTGTCTTTTTCATTTTCTTGCACCGGATTTGTTTCATCAGGGACCCGGAAATATTTTGAGGAGAACGATTTTGGCTAGCATTAAAAAAATTAAATTATAATTCAGACCATTTTACACGACTAGTAACGACTTGAATTTAAATCAAGTAGAAAACAAAAATATCTCTTAATCATGTGATCTAATATGTTGAAAAATTTGGGTTATCTATAGAAAGTAATAGCCTGATTTCTAAACTGGTCATATCTAAACTGGATACTTGAATTTTGATTGGTTGTTTATCTTTCTTGTCAATTTTCAAACATGATTAGTAATACCCGATATTTTAAGTCGTCGATGTAATTTTGACAACAGCGGATTTTTTTTCAAAACGTACTATCATCTGAATAAAAATTGCGTGATATTCGGCGGCGTTATACGTTTCGGTTTAATTGATTTGTTGCAGGCACGCTAGGATTTTCCTCCCCACTATTTTCTAAATATCGCATCTCGATGTACCGGTGTGTAGGTAAATACATGTGCATCATGCATGGTGTATTAATATTAGTAATTTGTACGTGCGTCATTCAAGTCATACGAAGCATTTAAATTACATGTATGTTACATGCTCCGTAAACTAATCAAGTGACTAAATGTAATTTGAAGAACACAAATACATGTATATCCAATAAGAGAAGATATGTGTCTATATGCTACAGGTATAAATATGGCGTCGACACTGTTTCGTTGTTTTCACTCATTAGATTATTTGTTATAGATACTTTCTGAAGAAATGCCACATAATAGGATCCCAACATCAGGGCAGCCATGTGTTTACGAAGCGTCAGAAGAAGAAGTTGCTTTAAAAAACTTAGCTAAAGACGTTTACGTTCATTTTACATTGTTGATCGATTATATTAGCTACGGAATAAATTATTTAATATCACTGATACTAAACAATTTTTTCGGTTATCCGGAACCAAGTAAAGTACACATTGCCACACCTACATTTCATCCTGCCGTACTAATAACGGGAGCGTCAGTAGGCGTAGGAAAAGACGTAGCGTTAAATTTGGCGAGAAAAGGATATACTGTATTCGCAGCAGTAAATAAAGTTGAAGATTTTCAATCATTACTTGGACAATTCAAAAGTTTTAAAAATGAAAATAATGGAACACTTCGTTGTATCGTAATGGATATGGCAAACCGGAAAGCTATGCAAAAGACGTATCATACTATTCGTCATGATATTGGACGAGATATTCCATTCGTGGGTTTGATTAATGTTGCAACAACTGTAATCTATTTGCCACTTGAAGTCGCATCAGATGCAGCAATTCACGATAGCTTCGAGACAAATCTTTTCGGTGTAATATATTTAACTAAATTATTTTTACCACTTTTGAGGGAGAGTCGAGGAAGAGTTATAAACGTTGGAAGCATTTCATCGTTAAGTTCTGCCTCGTCAATGGCCATTTATGCTGCTTCTAAAGCGGCATTAAAAGCTCTTACTCGTACTTGGCGACAAGAAGTTAGATCAATGGGAGTTAACATGGTGCTAATAGAGCCAGGTAGTCTAATTTCTTTATCATACATGGCATATATGTATGCTATTTACTGTTTAATAAATTAATATAAATATAATTTTTTACTATCAATATAGGATTAATTGATACCCAATTTACACAAAAGGTTCATCAGGATTTCCGAAAATTTAAAGGGTTCTCCACCAGTTCACCATATCATGAAAACCTTCAACATGTCAGCCCGAGAACACTGGAGACTTATGATACACAATTCAAAATTGTTGGAAAACTTTTCGATGAAGTAGTCGATGCTGCAAATCCTCCAGGAATAGTCACCGATGCAATTGTTCATGCTTTGACTTCCAAATTCCCAAAATCTACTTATTATGTCGGAATGGATTCGAAATCTTTGGCGTTGTTGAATTGGCTTTTAGGTGAACGTATTTCGGACGCTATTCAGGCAAAGATTTTTGGATTTTAAATTATGTCAAATCTGTTTTTATAATATCAATTAAATTAAAAGATCAATTCCTTAATTTTGATGTACTCCTTTCTTGTGATCTAATTTTTCAATGTGTAAAAGCTTATAGATTTTGAAATTTATTTATTGTCAAAAATTGTAATTATACAAATTAAAAGATTTAGTAATCGGGCACGTCCATATGCATGTCTGTGCTCTGTTTCACTTTTTGATGTCATTTGTCTGCATAGTCTAATATCGATTATTTGATCAAACTGGCTAAGGTGTTACGAATCACCGCGTCCGATTCATCCCTTATTTTTTGCGATATCACTGCTGTACAACTTTTAATACATGCAATAAATTTAAAGAAGTTAAAATTTTGATATATATTATTATGGATAATGATAATGTTATTCTTGTAGATCATTTCAAACGTTAGCAATAACTTTTGATATCATGAAGATATGAAGATTTATGATTTTCACAGTTTATTAATAACAATCTGTAATTTAATAATGCTTTTTATAGTAAAAATTTTAAAATTTAAATTATATAGCCTTTCCTGTATATCTCACAGTTGTCAGCAATCTTTATTTTTACAATTCTTTCTACTCTCTGTACTGGATATTACAAAAAATTATATAACAATAATATAATATTAAGACTTTTGCTATAAAAACAACAAACTCTTCTTGAAATTATTCTTTTATTTCAAGTTCTCTCTTCTTTTCGATTCAAAATCTGAAACAAATAACAATATAAAATCATCTAATATTTTCAATATTACAACTACTATATTATATATAAACTTTGTTAAGTTAGAATCTCTAAGTGAAATATTTAAGTTATTTTTATTATTTCTAATTTCTTTAATAATGATAATAATTTTAATATTTTTATTACAAATTATAATAATAAATAAAAAATGAAAATACTTTTTTATTTTAGTTTAAAATCTAATTTTTTAACAAAACTGACAAAATTTAAAATCATTATCAGCAAATTTTAAAGTTCTAGTTATATTGATTATTTTATTGATTATTTTACTAATTATTAATTATTAATTAGAATCTATATTCATATTATTTATAATTATATATATTTTTTGCTTCAATTAATACTAAATAAATATAACTTTCTTTTAATTTGTTTACTTAATAAATTATTAATATTATAAAAATTGATAATAATTTGATTTTTATTTTTATTTTTACTAATTTATTTATTTTTAATAAATAATTATGTTTTCTAAGAAATAATTTATTATATTTAACAAAAACACTTTTCTTTTTTTTATTTAAATATTAAAATAAAAATCTCTTGAAAATTTTTAATTATATTTGATATTTTATATTAATTTTACTTATTTATTTTAATATATAATTATATTTATAAAATTCTATATATAAACAAATTTATATAAGAAAAATTTTTCAAACAAACTTATTATAAAATATATTAAAACTTTTCTTTTTATAAAAACTTAATTATTTATAAAAAAGTATTAATTTTAAGTTAAAAAATCACTTTATTTTGATTTAATATTACTTTATTATTAGATTTATTTTTAATATTATTAATAAAAATTTTTTCTGTATATTATATTAATATATTTAAAAATATTATATTATTAAAATAAAATTTGTTATTTAATAAAATTAAACAAATAAAAATTATTATTTTTTATAATAAATTAAATCTTAAAAAGCTTTGATTTATTTATTTTATAAAAAATCAAAAATATATATTTATTATATTAACTATTTATTATTATAATATAATTAATTTAAATTAAATTGATTTTATTTTAATTATATAATTGCTAAATTTATATTAAATCTTATTATATTTTATATTTTTTAAATATATACTTTTTAATCAAAAATATTTAACTATTTGATTTATAATTATAAATTATCATCTAAAAATAAAATTTATATCAAAATTATTAAGTATAAATAAAAAAGATTTTTTATATAACTCTTATTTTAGTTATTTAAAAATAAAAAAGTTTTTCTTTTATAATATTCAAAATGTATAAATTTAGTGAGTTGAATAAGAAAAATTTATAAATTTCTGAAAAAAAAATATATTAAATAAAATTCTTGAATATTTTAAATTTATTATTTATAATATTATAATGAAATTTAAAAATTTAAAAAATATTATAATTATTTTATATTTAGAAAGATTATTAAAACTCATAAAAAGAGAGATCAAAAGTTTTATAAAATTAGTTAAGAAAGATTAATAATAATTACTAGAAAAAATATTTAATAATTTTTTTTTAGTTTTAATCTTTCTAATATTATAAAATATATTTTATATATTAAGAAATTTTATAAATAAGCTGAAAAAGAAAATTATTTATTTTTAAAAAATTATAAAAAAGATTAAAATAAGATTATAAAATAAAAAATTCAAATAATAAGTAAAATTTTATTATTTAAATAATAAATCTTATTTTATATTATAAACTAGTACAAAAAGATTGATATACCAATATAAAATTAATAATTACTTCTAATAAAAATTATTTAAATTTAATTAAGCTTTATAATTTTTTTATATTAAATAAAGAATATTCTGAATTAACTTTTTATACTATTTTAATTATTCTATTATACTTTAATTTAATAATAAATAAAGTATTACTTTACTAAAAA